TGTGTGTGTGTGTGACCAGGATATTCTCTTCATGTCTTTCTTCACCTCTTAAGGATATCCAGCTGCACAGCCAAGCATAGTCTGGCCGGGACATTCCGTGTGTGTGTTTGTATGTTGGTGTGTTTGCGTATGTGTTCGTATGTGTGTGTGCATGTTTTTGGTTTTTGATATGGATGTTACGTCCAATCAGGACAGCTGCAGCTATGAAAACAGACGGTGCTTGTGTGCTCGATGGCCTCTGTGTGTGTGAGAATGTGTGTTTACATGCGTATATGTGTGTATTAGCACATGTTTTAGCAGTTGATGGCTCCTTATTTTGGTAGTTTTATAATGTGCTGCATATTGCCTGAAATATAATTTATATGAATAAATAAAGAACTATATTGCACTAAAGTTTGTAGTAATGTCTTTATCTCGGTCAAGACAAAGGCCTTACACACATTCAGTTTTTTATTTTGAATACATCACGAAGAAGGTATGTTTACTGTCTGTTCAATCTACAATCTGCCCCTTGAGCACAGTGGAATTTCACACGTCACGAGTCAAGTTTTCAGCCTAAATCTAATATTTCTAAATGATGATAGCATTATTTAAACATGTAAACAGTTAGTGTACTGTATATCTTATGAAGTCTCTTTATTAAATCACGTTTTCTTTGGTCGTAACGTGACTTAGTGCCTCATAAATGGCAAAGAAAGCAACACTAACCCTACAATCTAATCATTTGGATCTCTGAACTCACATTTTACCCTTGATATTACACTTGTATCCCCCCTTACTAAATATGTTCTTTATTCTCGCGTCCAGGAGAGAAGCTTTAAAATGAGACTAAATGGAGTCTCTGAAAAGATTCTAATGGGATACTTTAATTAAAAAAGGCGCGGTAGTGTTAAAGACAGAATATTGTTCCGGCAGAAAACAGCTGTGATCTGGCTCTCCTGAGCAAGAAGAGAAGGGCAATCCCCCGTTCGGTGCCGTTATATATCCTCTGCTGGCTCCTCCCCGCCAGCCGGCTAGCCTCGCCTCTATTGTCCGTTGTTGCATTTAAACAGAGGATTGGTACTTTTCACCTTCAATATATGCTTAACCCGCCTTTTCTCCTCATATTCTCTTTCATCACTTTTCATGTAACACATTCTAGACGCTGTAATCAATACCCTAAAACATACAGAAAATGCTTTACGGCTGGTTTGGTTTCCGGTTTCCGGATGTTGTCACATGCTACTCTCGTCTGTAAACAATAGTGTATTCAAATAAACTGTACTTTCATTTAATATTCAGCATGGTAGTATCTCGACATCTATAGTTGTAGTGTTAAATCAGTAGGTTTCGGTTTTCACCACTCCATGTCATTTCGCTACTCAATTCACCTCTTTAGGAAATCGTATATTAGCCACATGCTAAATGCTAACCGTAGATGAAGGATTTTCAGAATAAAAGCTTAACTGCTTGTGCACAAGCATTTCTGGTTTTTCAGTATAAAAGAGCGTTTAAACTGACGGTATGTTTAAGCTACATTATACCATCAAAACATTGATTTTAAATTTCTAACACTAACAAAGTAAACATATCATATAGTGTTTGTTGTAAAGCATCAGATGTTATCTCTTCTCTGTGAGCTGTTCTGTTCTGTAGGATAATACTTTCAGTGTGAATACTTCTACTGCCTGAATTTGCTTTATGGTTTTCACTTTATTTGCTTCATTTGTTCTGTTTTTAATTCAGCAGGTGAACCTAAGTTCATAAAATAGTGTGTGTGAGCTTAACTTTGTGTGTTAAACTTAAACGGAGCATTTTCTGTCAGCTCAGATTTTATTTCTGCTTTTTTAAACTGTAGTATGAGCTCATGTGTTTCATTGTTGGTGTATAGGCTGCTGCCTGAATAAATACAATCTCTGAGCATAGGAAACATTTCTTATACTAAATATCTTGGTTTCTTCTTTTCTAAGGTCACTTTCTTAGCTATTACCTATACAGTACAAAACATCTTACACGTACCCTGTTCATATCGTTGTGTACAGGTGATCAAATCTGTGGAGGAGGGCTACAGGCTGCCCGCTCCCATGGGCTGCCCGGGTCCTATGCACACGCTCATGCTGGACTGCTGGCAGAAGGAACGCAGCGAGAGGCCGCGTTTCTGCCAGATAGTCACCGTTCTCGACAAGCTAATCCGAAACCCAGAGAACCTGAAGACTATGGACACGCTCTGCAGGTGAGAAGGCCTCTGAACAGATACATGTTTGCAGTGAAGCAACACTGTGTCAGTAGTCTTTTGATTTAATTTGGCCAGACAGTTCGCCCCAACATTGAAATCAAATATTGGTTCGTGTGATTATCGAATTAAGCTGCAAATCAAAGCAAGACACCATCTGCAAGGGGCTAAGAAGATGATCTCCCGGACAATGTGCGGTGACAGACTGTTAGGCTACTAAGTAAGTGTCCTGGTGTGGGAGGCAGAGGAAATCCAATCTCATCCCTCTGATATGAAACGTGAGCGCGGTGGGATAAAGTTGCAGGCTGAAGTTTCCCTTCGAAGTTCTCCGGGAAATGAAGCGAGCGGCCGTGTTCGTTTTCCAATAAGCTCATTTCTGATGGACGCGCTGTGCGTTAAGTAAAAGCCTGGCTGTGATATTGTCATTGATCCGCTGTGAGTCTCGCTGCACGTTTGAGAGGACACCCGGGCCAAAGCTGGACCTGTGTAAATTGCTCAGCTCAGATCCCGGGTCCTACGGAGTCAGTGTTGCGTGGCTTTGAGCCTCTGTGGGTGTGTGTTGAGAGAAGTGTTAGGTAGAGGAGAGGTGTTGAGGATTTCTCCCTGCATTAATCCACCCAAAGCAGCCGCCTCTTCTCTATCATTTTAACTGTTATTGATTTTCTGCCTCAGCTACCAGCGCATTTCAAAGCCCCCTCTTTCCCCTGGTCGCTCTGCCTCTTGCTCACCTTTTGCCTCTTTTCTCATTTTCAAACTCCCTCCAACTAATCTTGTTGTCCTCCCATTCATCTCCCTCCTTCTCTGTCTATCTGTGGCTATCTGTCTCTTCCTCGGACGCAGTTTAAGCAGTCCTACGCTGATGGAGAGAGCCATCCCAGACTTCAGTAGCTGTAACTCAGTGAACGAGTGGCTGGACACCATAAAGATGAGCCGCTACAAGGACCACTTTGCAGCAGGGGGGTACCAAACTCTGGGACACGTCATAAGCATTAACCAAGGGTAGGTACTGACCATGATGGAGAGTGATGATGCTGAGCTCTACTAGCTGGTGTATGAAGCCCCTTTAACACTTGCCCTGCGACTCTTAATGGATCTGCTTTTCAAGTTTCAAGTTACAAGTTTCAAGGCTTTTATTGTGCATATTAGCTACAGTGTAGATATGGCAAAGCAAAACTTAAGTCATAGGTTCTTCCAACAGTATAACAAATACAACAGATAACATGAACAGTGTATGCTAACAATAACTGGACAATAAAGGACTTTACACTGAGAGCTTCCGAGTAGAAAGTCTGTGTCGTGTTAGTGTAGAAGAAGTGTCTGTCGGGGATGGAGTGAAACCAGAAAAAAACCAACATGGGTCGAAAACAAGAAGAGGCCGACAAGGGACGAGATGCATGAACTGTTAGGCTGACGACAGGTGGTCAGACAAATGTGAAACATAAATACACTAGATGATGGAGGATACAATTACTAACTGGCTATGTGGTGGAGGTTTAATGTGTCATGTAAGCCTGTCACAATAACTCACTTTATGGAATCTATATTGTCCAAGAAATAGTTGTGATAGACCATGTTATATATTATATGTCCGGCAGCGGCTCAGTCAGTAGGGGCTTGGACTGTGAGCCGTAGGGTCGCCGGTTCAAGTCCCCGACCGGACCTAAATATGGAGTATGGACTGCTACTTGGAGAGGTCCCAGTTCACCTCCTGCCCTGCCGTGGTGCCCTTGAGCAAGTCACCGGACACCCCCCACTCAATTGCTCCCCGGGCGCTGTACAATAGCTAGGTTTCATCCCTTCTATTATTGTCATTTTTTGACTAATGTTGCTAATGTTGAAATGACAAGCATAGTGATGCAAGTATAACATTTTTCCACAGCAATACACTTTAATTAAGAATAAGTAGATCATATAAAATCGGTTGGAATCATGTCCATATAACGTACAATACATTGAGGTCATTTCCAAGTAGCGTATCGTGTAGTATCGTAGTTCCCTCTGTCAATATGTCCACAAACCTGCAATATATTTTGGGCCACTTGGGGGCAGCAGAAACAAGTTGTGAACTAAACATTCACATATTATTACCTCTAGGGTGATACCACAAACTTCTTAGCAGAGAGTTATTTACACACCTAGCTGTTACGGGGCAACATTATTATTATTATTATTATTATAAAACATAATGTGAATAAAGAACTTGTTCGTATCAGCCTAAAGACTTTAAGGGTCTTCAATTACGAGGCCATTATAGATTGCAAAATCCGGATTTCATGTGTTTTTCTTTGTGTGTTTACATGTGTTGCAGGGACATCCAGAGGCTCGGGGTGACGCTGATGGGTCACCAGAAGAAGATCATGACCAGCGTGCAGGTGATGAGGGCGCAGGTCCTCAACAAGAGCGTGCCATCTGTGCACGTATAACTCCAACACTGAGGTTTCTCTGCTGAAATCTAGAAAGCCAGACTCCTACAAGGACTAGAGGGGCTCCGTGGAATTTTAGGATGAGCTGTTAATGAGAGAAGAGGATACGTGGGAACTTTACAAGACTTTTTCCTTGAGGGGTTGAAGAGCGAAAACATTTCAACTATGGAGCAAGTAAACATAGGGGACAAGTCCGACTTCATTTTCTTTTTCCTGTCCAGATTGCATTTTCTGATTTTAAAATGTCTTGTTTATAAATGGAAAGACTGCCTTAATAACCACACATTATTTTAATGTTATTGTCAACAAAGAGAAGATAATTTATCAATCATGAATTTTATTAGAGAGATATGATTTACTGAACCGGGCAATAGCAAAAGTACATGGAGTAATGTCGTAGAGGTGGGGATGGCGGGTGTTTTGTGACTCGCTGATCACCTGCAGTCTTGAGTCAGTAAAAGTGGAGAAAGTGAGATTGGGCTCACCCGAGTCGCCAGATCTTCTTCACAGCGGAGAGGACCTATTTCACCCCAGGCTATTAATACCAACAACAGGCACATTTCTCCACCGTCTAACCTTGATGAATGACCCCAGGAGAGCCCTCCACCCAGGGTGAAGCTGCGTGGCGCACAATTACTGTACTTGGAAGATGTGTATGATTCAGTTTCAGTGCACTTTATTCTACAATGTCTCTGTGTTGAAGAGCCTTCGCAGTTGTGTCTCAGCCACAACTGCAGCAATGATGTTGGTCTGTTGAAGAAATAGCAGTTTGAAAATATTACATAAATTATGATTAACTACAAAGTATGAAAACAAAGAGGAAATATAGATATTTAACATTTATTAGGGTAGTAAGTAGATCGCTTATGAGATTTATTTCCAAACTTTTGTCACTGTGACAGTTGTCGGAAGAGAACATTTATTTAATTTACATACAAAATACTATTGTCAATTTTTTTTAAAACGTATCCAACGCATTTTCAATATATTGGAGTTTTCTTGTTAAATATTTTATTTAAAATGTAATCCAAATAGAGAGGTGTATTGATGACGTTTTAGGACAACCCCGAAGTTAGCATCACAAGTGCTTTCTCAACAAGAAGCAATGAGATGTTCCTAATGGATTTCGGTGTGTTACGAGTAATCATGCTAAACTAAAGACAGATTTGTGTACCTTGGTAGTTTGATAAATTAATCTCAACTAAAGATTCACTTACTTAGAGTAAACTGTAGGACTTCTTTCCGTAATGTTACCAAAGATCTATGAAAACGAAGAAAAGTTGAGTTTGTTGGTAAAAAATAGGAGAAAATCCCAAACAAGTGAACCTTCAGTTTAGATTATTTGGTCAAACTATTTTAGTCAGTCTAGGTGAAATGCATCTGAAACGGAGAACAATAAATTACTTTCAAATATAGTATAAAATATATTACAATTTTTACTTCTCAAGACATGTGAGGCTATTTGAGCTTCCTTGATTCCTATCACATACAGAAATACATTTTAAAGAATTTTAACGGCATTTTTTTAAATGCTTTCGGAGAATTCCATAAACTGAAAATGTATTAAATTGATAATGATGATAGACTAATTCATAAGAATAACATTTTGCCTAGCTTGTAAGCCAAGAAGCTAAAAGCAAGCTGGTGTTAATGCTAAGCTAACGGTTTTTACTAACGGATAAAGAGATACAATTTTATGCGGTCGATCTTCATTTTTTAAATGGATTTGGAGCATCCCACATATTGAAAATGTTTTCTAATGATGATGGCCCAGTTAACAGGATTAATTTACTAGCTAGCCAAGAAGCTAACAGCAAGCTGGTGTTAATGCTAACTGTTTTTACTATTAGATACGAAAGTACGTTTTTATGCGGTTTAATAAAGAAATGTAAGTGCATCCAATATATTGAAAATGTTTTAAAATGATGACGATGGCCCAATTAACAACATTAACTTTTTGCCTTGCTAGTTAGCCAATATGCTAACAGCAAGCTGGTCGTAATGCTAACGAACAACAAGATGCTAACAGCAAGCTGGACGTAATGCTAACGAACAACAAGTTGCTAACTCTAGGTTTGTATTATGTTGTGTGTAAGAAGGAGTGTGCTAATTAGCAAAGCACAATATATGATTTGCAAAATATAACACAAAGCACCCAATACAGATTAAGACTAGACTAATAAATAATATTAACATGGATACAAGTTTCTGAAGACTGCCAAACTCTGCAAATTGTGAACAGCGTTTATATATTTCATAACAACAATCCCTTACATGTTAATAAATTACATTACTTAACTATTAACACAATATACTGTACACTTGTTTGGCTTTCAACCAAAATTACACAATTATATATTAGACCGGATTGTCCACATAGCCAAGATTACGTTTCAACATCTGCAGAGACATAATTTGTTTTAATTCTCGTGGCATTTATGAACAAAATGTTACAGAGACTTAATTTGGTGGATGTTTATCGAATCAGCACTTATACTATTCGGTTTCCCTGGAGTACAAATCTGTGTGAATACTGGGAATGTAGTACAAATAAGCTACACGGACTGTAAAATAAAGTGTTACTTCTGATGTAATGTGATCACGCTGTTTGCCTCAGTGTTGAAATGGTAATGAAGAACATGTAAGTAGAATGTTTATCTCTAAACGCTGAAGAAAGTACAAAACCAGCCCTAAGTTACACCCCCCTCCGTGCCATCAAGAGAATGTTTTTTTCTTGTGCACATCGGTAGGTTTTTCCTCTAGAGAATTTATGTCAGTTTTTATTAGAGAAGAACCTCATGACATGTGTTTGAATATGTATAATAGTGACATTTCACTACTGGTTTTCCTTTAGGGAGGTTTTTTGTTTTTTTAAGACACTGGACGTGAGCTGAAACTCATATTTTATAAACTTAGGGTATGTTTTTGCTAGATGAATTGATTTGTATGTATACAGCAAGTTCAGTCACTGGAAGGAAGAAAAAAAAAGAAAATATCAACTGGATTTATTCACATTTCATTATTTATTCATGCTCATTTGTTTATTTTTTAAATAATTCAACTCGGAGAGGTTTTATTACAGTTGATGAATCATCCTTGTTGCTAATGATAAACCATAAATGTGCAAACTGTCCATAAATACACAATAAAGGAACGTTTGTCTGTGTGTGACTGCAAAAGTGATTTGCAGATTATTTCTAATACATTCATTTCAGTTCCACTTGATTTTTGTTCCCCATGTTTGCATGCTCTCAACCTCATGGGAGCTGTTGTTTAATGAGTGCATACAAAGTATTCATTGTTTTATGTTGATTTTAAAGCTGCACAAACCAATTTGCTTGCAACAAAAAATCTAAAATGACTACAGTACATGCTATATGAAATATCCTCCAACTTTGACATCTCGGCACAGCTGTAAGGAGCCATTTAGTGTTTGATTTAGCTCAGTGTTTCTGCATCATCACTGCAGGCAGCTGATGGCAGATAAAGAACCCAAAATAATCAGTAGCCGGTACAGAAAGTCTAACAAATAGCAGAAAATATGAGGATATTTTCACTCCAAAAAAGCCAATGCAGTACATTGTAAGTGCTGGTGCTACGTTTTCTTTCTTTTTTTATTAATGTCCAAGGTACCAGAGAAACAGGTGGGATGTCAGTTTGAGACGGAAGATATGTAAACTTTCAGCTCTCCTGATATCAATGAGGAGCTTTTTAAACCATTTTGGAGCCAGGATAGCTACCAGGTGTGTTTTAGTTTAAGGTTTACCTGAGTCCCTCTTGCTGTGAGCGAGCTGATTGGCTGATGCCTGAGTGTAGGGTTTGACCATGTCCTCGTTTTAGAAAGGACTGGGTTCCTCTACACTACAGGACGGTAAGCCAGTACCAGTGTCTTAAAGCAGAAAGGGGCACTGGTAACCAACGAACATAGCAAAGGAGCAGTACAGTGTGGGAGAACTTCGGTAGGTTGAGAACTATTAGAATTTCCAAAAAGTCAAATCAATGTCTTAATAAAGTAGAAATCCGGCTGAAATAAAGTCAAAAGTCAGTAAAGAAATCTTTTTTTTTTACTTCATGTCAGCCGAATGAATAAGTGGAGAATTTCTAGCTGACAAAAGTAATAAAAACTTTGTGAAATTATAACATACCATATATATTCTTTGTGCTGATATGTGGCCACAGAAACCAGGTGAAGGACAACATGCTAATTGTGTTATTCAGTCATTTAATATCCATTTTACTCAGAATATAGAATACAAATGTGGGACGGCAATTGTGCCCTAAATCATCCGTGAATAAATAACATTACCAGTTTATTTGTGTGCCTTAAATAAACTGCATTCACCTCCTGATGCTCTCTTCCTCCCTGCTTGGGATTTGTCTAAGGATCCATCTGGACAAACATGAAAGACGTCAGCATGAAGTCCTGACAGCCCCCTGAGTGAGATCTGCTATAGGAGGGGTGCATCATTTAAGCAATCACCTCACACGCTCCGCAGATCATCAGTAATGAATATGTTTTCTGTGCATAGAGAGGACAGAGCTAGGGGAAAATTAATCTAGGCTTCATCTCTGACAAATACATCGTTTCACATGCAGGAAGCATATTTATATTCACCCTGAGGTGTTTGATCAGCGGTTGATCTGCACTTTGCGGCACCGTAATGCTCACTGTTGCAACGCTCAGGTTGAAAACAATTGACTTTGACTTCCTTAATGCTCACGGCTGAGTTTTTGAGTAGATTGCTTTTTTTCTTCTTCTGTGGGAATGAGCCCTGACCCTGCTCTGAAACATAATTTTGAGCTCGGCCTGAATGGGGAATGCGCCTGATGAATCTGTGTCTGAGTAATTGTCCTTTCCCTCACCTTAGGAGGGCTGTTAGGAGATAATCCTCTCCTTGGTGAAACAAGACCTAACACAACATCATTAATCTCATTACGAAGGCTGTGTTGCTTTGTTGCCACCGAGTCCCACGCCCAATTATCAGCCGCTGCCCCAGCCCCATGACGAAGGCTAGTCCCGCCCATCGCTAACGACCATCTACAGTGTCCCCTGATTGACTTCTGGAAAAGCGGCGGTGATAGCACTTTGTATCTTCACTGAGGCAACCCCCCGAGCCTCAGCTGTGTCCTCGTGTCCCCCCGGCTGTCCTGAGGCCGACTGCATGAAGCTGATCACGACAAGAGTGGCTCCAGCTTTCCTTATCGCCTCACAGCAGGTCCGCATCATGACGGAGAGGCGGACAATAAAAATGGATTAAAAACGCAGAGGCATTTATTGTCAAGTTTGCTTTTAATCGTAAAGCAGGAACAATACAAATTCATTAACGAGCTTTCCATTCGGTGTACTCTGTGCACAGTCATAATGAAGTGAACAACCTTGGAACAATGCATTTGCACAGCTTGAAATGTTGAAATTCTTCCAGAATATTACATTAATCTGAGGGCTGAGCGAGGAGCAGTCTCTGAGGATTGGCAGTGGATTATTTTTACACTGCTGTACGGGAACCTTTTTACGGTGGCTGACAGGTGCAAGGCTCGTCTATTCGGAGAAACTCTCTGCAGTTTCAGAAACGATGTAACTATAAAAACATGCGCCAAAACACATGCAAATTAAGAAACATCTTCATCGACTTGACACATACGCAGCATTTAGAAAACATTCACCAAGTTGATGAAACATAGTTTAAATAATAATAATGTTGAAAAAAGAATGCTGCAAATAGAAAATGCTTCAAAAAGCTCCCAACAAAACAGAAACCAGGGGACACTAAAACGCGGTGGCGAACCGTCAGGGCCTTAAGGTATTCAGAGAATACACTGGAACAGAAAACATCTATTTAATTATATAAATAAAAAATATATAAAATGAATAAATGAGAATCATATCTGTGTTGTTGATCTGTAATATTACAGTGTTATGTTGATTTGTTTGTCCGCATTTCAGTGGTTTTGTGTTAGAAAAGAAAGCAACCAATCAGATCTTGTTCTGGGTCTCTGGGTAGAATATCCTTCATCCTTGATAGAATGCCCTGGCCGTTGCACTGAATGAGAGCGTACGTTTGGACTGACAGTTTGATCAACCAATCATATATTGATTTGTAGCCAATGGGCGTGTTCTTTCAGAGTTTCCCTCGGTTTCAGCGTACTCGCTAGTTTACTGGCTCGAGACAGAGGATCTAGAATGAATGCGTAGAAGCAATTCATGCCGTTTTATTGTTTTTAACGTTGAAATGGCAAGTGCAACAGGTGAAGATGATGCTGTTGCGGTGTTGTTGTGAGTACCCTTTTCAAGACGACAATTCAGTGAACGGACATTATAATGCTGCGGGGGGGTGTCTACAGAAGGTCCAGTTGTGATAGACACGGTTCGCCACTGCTAAAAAGTGCACACAGCTGGGACCGGAGCGCTTGGTGATTATAAAGTTGGCCAACTATCACTGTTATTGGAAACTAGCCTAAAATATAAGTTGTATTGGCTTATTTTAACAATTTGACTCCTTCTGATAATATTGCAGATCTGTTGTAAGCTAGCTAGCTAACCTAGTCATTTCAAATTGACAAAACATTTTCAATGATGAAACAGACTAACTCTGCAGACAGAGACAGTTGGACAACTTTATCATCCCCGAACGTCATCAAGCGCTCCCAGCTGTGTGCGTCATTTTTTTTAGTGTCCCCTGGTTTTTGTTGTGTTTTGAACTTCTTGCAGTGTTTTGTATTTGCAGAGTTTCCTTTATGCACTTTCAGTAAACGTTGCGCGTGTTTCGTCAAATTGTCGAAGATGTTACTTTATTTGCGTGTGTTTTGGCACTTGCGTCTTTTTATATTTACATTATTTTTTATGTGCAGCGCGTTTCTCCTAATGGAAATGTTTTGGGCTGTAGCAGGCTGCTTGCCACCGTGTATTTTCCTAAACAAAATACCTCACTATTTTGGAACACTTTCTTTGAGCAGATTGTAAAAAAAAGCCTATGAATTAAATACCGTGAAATGTGATTACTACGCTATAAGAGGAAAGGAACACTCTGTATTCAGGAGTGAACCGTTGAATGAGCCTAAAGCTCCTGGTTCAGTGTGAGGGCACTGCCTTTTTTCAACAAAAGAGCAGTTACTTAGGAGTATTGAATCGAGTGCAGTAAACAACCTGATGACTGGTGGAAAACCTCCTCAAGGAAAATGAATGACTTCTGGAAATGTTCCAGAGAGATAGAGTCATCCAATGGAGTATAAAAAGCATCTGATCAGGGAATGTGTGGGTTTATTTTCATGCAGTTACTGTCTGTTTCCTTCAGTGTCATGTAAACAACATAATCTGAGAGAGAGAGGTAAGAAAAAACTGATTTCTCCAGCCAGATTCTTCTGGAAGAAAATACATTTCTCGTCATGTACAGTATAACCAGGTTTCATGGGACAAGTATCACTGTGACAGCACTGGAGAGAACATTATTAGCAGAGATACACAAAAAATAATTTAAAGTGTGACCAAATCTGACATTAATAGTGTCTGTGAGTTTTTTCTGCAGTTCAGTATTTGACAGTTTGTGAACATTCACTGGGTGTTCTCATTACAG